AGGAGAAAGAGGATGTCGCATGGTACAGCGGTGGCATTTAAAAATGATCAACCTTCAGCGCCTTTAAGGTTTCACCTTTGCCATCGTGCTTTCGAATTCTTACTCACGTCTACAGGCAATAACTCCCACTCACGGTTATAACTCTGCTGAAAGATGGACGGGGGTCGATATAACTCGGCCATTTTGCGGATAATTGCGAGCGACACGTCGCATCGCCATGTCTCGTTAATGAGAGAGACGGATACACGCTAAGAAACCTTGCCATGGGGTGGATAGGAAACGTACCCCAGAGACATGGAATCGTTGATTTCGCTTATCTGTCCCAGATGTTCGCGATCTGTATCTCAGCACACGCTTCAATTTCTTCAACTGTGTTTTTTTTTTTTCCCAAGGCAATCAAAAATGTATTCTTTTTTCATGTAATAAAGCTGTAAAGTTGGACACAATACCTATCCATTTTTATGAGAAAATTATTCAGTTTTTTGAATACTAATTAAATATATAGCAGATGAAAAATTCCTTCAAAGACCACTTAAATGTAACTGTAATAAAAATTTATATTGCTATTTGTTTCTCTTTAACATGATATTTAAAAATACTTTTTACTAGTCAAAAATAAATTTATAGAATCAATAATTCTGTAATGGACAATAAAAAAGAGTTGTAACACTAAAGATAGAAATGAACTTCTATCTCTAGAGTTATCTCTTCCACTCAATCATCGACTTTGTCGCCTCTATTCCCAGCTACATCTGTTAAACCGTCAGGAATCCATACATATGTATCTGTTGAAATGCGAACGTAAATTAAAGAGAAAGGAATAATCAATTCAGATACGGCGAAAAAACGAAAGGGGTTACCGTCTTCTGATTTGACAACTAATTACATAACTTATTAATTTCATTCATAGAAATAATATCTATTTTATGTAACGGATTAACGAGAAAGACGTAGAATTTCGTTTCACCACAAAAGATTAGGTTATTAAAAATTCATTTGAGAAGAGAGAAAAAAAACAGATTTTATTTTCACAATGAAATGTTTATTTCCTTCTCAAGGTTACACTCTCTGGAGACATGTTACTTGTTTCATTTCTTTCTCAGAAAAGAAAAATCTAACTGTTATTTAATTTTCTTTCGATTAACTATAAATTTGATTTTACGCTGCTTTTGAAAAAAAGATTTGTTTTTTTTTTTTTACTTATTATCTAACTTCCTCATTAGTAAATTTCATTAGTAAATCATTAGTAAGCCTCATTAGTAAATCTTACCCACATCTAGTAAATGTAATTATCTAACGTAAACTCAGTACTTATGCAGTATGTAGAAAGGAAATTGCTTCACCTCCGCTTTACCTTTTTAAGAAAAGGAGGCAATGACTTATTAATTTCGCGATTGTTAAATGTCTTTCCTTATATGAGTATTATTTAATTTATACACTTAATGATAAATGATTAATTTTCCTGTACAAAAGGCACTTGTAGCATCAAAATTTTTATTCGTTTTGTCGGTTTTGCCGAAGTTTGCGGAGCGAAGTACGCATGCGGAGTGTTGTAGCTTATAGTTAAAAAAGATGAGCAGGTGCGGCTAATCGACTTATTTCTTTTTTTTAACTTTATAGAAGCCATTCTTTGACAACGTCTCGCAACGGAAAAGAGAGGAAACTTTTATATCATATTAATTATATTATATTATTTTATATTATATTATATTATATTATATTATATTATTATTTATATTATATTATTATAATTATATATTTCCCATTTTATGAGGGAGGTAAGCGAGAACTTTGTGTTACCCGCGCGATTTCTCTGTTTCTCCATTAACTCCATATAAGCCGTACACACGTTCTCTGGAGAGAAGTGGGGATCGGAATTATCTTTTATTGAGGGAGGTAAGCAAAAGTGACATCCGCCGCCCCGGCTTGTCCAGCTCGGCGTACTTGGTGCGGGCGGAAGTGCAACAGTGGGAAGGAGAACATCCCTCGAGTGAAGACACGCGGTCCTCGCGCGGTCCTCGCGATCCTCGCGCGGATCTTCTTTTCTCAGTTTCTTATGCGCGCCAGCAAATCGCGCTTCATCCCGGCGCCTGCGTGATATCGCCACGCGTGTAGACCGAAGTATATAGGAGCGTGGCTGCTCACCGCCAGCGTCACATTGCATCCCCCGACGTACGTCCCTCAGCTTCGCAAGCCCCGACACCCCCAGTGGCGGTCGGTGTTCCCAGCTTCGGGCCGAGAGATCGGCGCCACTTCGAAGAAAACGCCACGTCGCGTCACGATCGACGATCGATCGAGATCGAGCAGACGTTTCTCGGACAAAAAAGAAAGAGACATCCGGAAAGGCACCCTCGTCATCGGCATCGGGCGTCTCGTCGTCTCCGGGATATCCGGGAAACACCAGCAGCTTTCGCGCGAACGCCAGATATCCGCGTTGCGAAACCGATTTTTCTTCCTAGAACCCGATTCCCCGCATGACGTAAGTCGAGGTGGCCTCATCGGCACATTAACAAAAAAAAAACAACGTACAGGATTCAGGACGCACGCCGTTAATATGGGCATCAGCTTCGTTCCGCTGGTCGTGGTAGCCGTGATACCAATAATCATCGGTAGTTTTGGTAGTGTCGTCGGGAAGAGAAGCATCACGGACAACGATATCGCTAATGTCGATTATCCTGATTATTCGGCCAAATACAACGATTATCCGGTGAGTAAAAAAACCATCGAAATCATTGATCGTCATTCCGACTCGGATCATTAGTCTGCATGTCTTTCGCATACCTTGACATTTAAATTTAAATTACGAACGTTGCGTGAGCATCACCTTCTCATTTTTGCAAAAGTGAAGTTTTTTTCTCCAAAATTATAACGTTTATTTTTATTTTTTGTCTTTAATATTCTTTTAAATAAAATATTACAATAGTAGGTACAACAAGAGAAACAATTTCCAATTGCGTCTCGCTTCGCGCAGAAATCTGTTTTTTTCTTTCTCTTATCTGACAAACGTATCAGCATTGTTGAAAGTTCTTAATAGCTTCAAGATATTTAACGTGCAGAATAAGGAACACAAAATAAATACACAAAGTCGTAAAGTTCTATGCGCGATTATTCGAAAAAAAAAATTTTGCATTCTTTTGTTCGACTCTCGTTAATGAAAAGTTACGTATTCTTTGCGCGCTTATTATTAATTAATTATTTTTCATTCGTATATACATCTTGCTTTTGTTTAAAATAATACTTTGATAGGATTTGTTAACTTAATTCTTTTTTGTTTTTTTTTTTCAAAATTATTTCGCAACTGTTTGTATTTTTTTTAAGAATACTCGAGTAAGTAGACCACATTTCTATTTCGGTAAACAAACTCGGCGAACAAGTAAATTTTTATAATTAGGCATTCTGAGAAATCTGTTTGACGTAATATTAGATAATAAACGCATGATTCGTTCATAATCAATATATTGAAAGTTGGAAAATCGGGAAAATACAAAATAACTAGCTTGTATTAGAAAAAAGCTTGTATTAGAAAATTATCTTTTCACTTTTATTTTACAGACAAATTTAATAATATGACGTAACATCAAAAATATATTCATATTTTTATTATTAACAATACGATGATTTATTTCAATGAATTCTTTATAAAATGATAAAAATAAATAACATAAAATATTGATAAAAATTTTATTTTAAAAGAGCAAATATAAAGAGTAGTAGTTCCTAAGAAGAAAAATTACAAAATTTGATATTTCGCAACTTTAAACAAAATTTCTGTAAAATATAAAAATGTAATATAAATATTTTTAAAAATTATCTTTGATTTTTTAGAAATTTTATCTTTTTTCTTTTTTTGTTAAAAACAAAAAAAAATGTTTATTATAAATCACCTGTAAAAGAAATGAAATATCATATTATTTAAATAAGCATTATATATCGAGAAAATTACGAAAATGCATAAACAGAGATATAATTGGAAAATATTTTCTTATTTATTAATATTTTTTGATGTGGTTCTTCTCATTTTATCAATCTGGGCTTCTTTATTCTATAAACATTGCGGAATCGTATATTGTTAAAAATAATGAAAAATAAAAAAAAAGGAAGTAAAAATTAGATTTCCGTGGGAAGCTGTGACGAGATTGAGATACAATCGGGCTTTCGCCCAGAAGTGGAAAATGAAGGAGAACCTGGCGCTCATAACGCGGCATGCCTGGTAGAAAAGAAAGCTCAAATAATCGTTCGTAAAAGCGCTCAAATAACGCAAAACTATTGAACGCTCGAATCCCTTTGGATTTCTTTAAATAAGAAATTGTTCGAGAAATCTGTCAAATGTGACTTTCCGCTTCTACCGGCGATTTCTCTTCCTTTCTTCGTCTGCGTCTTCGGAAAGAGGAAACTACTTGTTTCTCCTCCTAATAATTGCATTATGTTACGTCACGGATTCGAAGAATCTAGGAAAATAGTCAAGTTCGATGTACATTTAGAGTTGTGTGCGGAGATGCTAACTATCGCTTCTGTCTCTTTTTACATCCTCTAACCTTTACTTTACTCTCTAGGTCGACGCTTCTCGAATTTCCTTATTACGATATTTTCTATCGTATTTCTCGTCGCAAAAACAAATTGAAAAAAATATCTCCCTTAAATACTTTCGCGCGCAATTTCGCGTATTTGAGTACTTTCTTCGATTACGCGTAATCGCACGCTCAAAGTCACCGCGCTCGATAGTTTGCGGATGAAATGTTACATTTACGAGATCACAATGCGACTTTTACAATGCACTTTGACACACGGAATTGGCAATTTGTAAATTTTACACGCAACTATATAGACCGTATTCTAGGTCATTTCGGCCAACTTAGCTCGACCACTAAGATTAACTCTAGTGGACCAGAAGCTATACGGACATAATTTATAGCGAAATATTCTGGATATCGTTGTCATGTTTCGTTAAAAGATTATTAAGATTATCTCAGCGCCTAATGCAGAAACTTTAATTATTGAAATTTGATCCATTATGTAACTGCCGATTTTGTGCTCGCTGCAACTACAAATGTCTCGAATATAACATACGAACTACTATTTGTTATATAATATTTTTTATCTTGTTTGTCTTCGTTGTATCAGTTTTTTTTCTACTATCGGATATCAAATATCTACGTATTTTTACGTAGCGAAGAAGGATTGCTCTCAGGTAACGAGCAAAACATTACAAAGAGAAAAAGAGTCGGTTGAGAACCTTCGAACTTTCAGTTGCATAATTTTATCACGATTCGATTCGTTGATTCTTAATACTGTTATTAAAAGTTTTTTTTCTTTCTTAATGCACATTTTTACTTTGACACATTATAATTATTACGCGAGTTCAGCAATGCAATAATATGTTTATTTAAGAGTAAAAATCAGAGGTATTAAATTTTACAATTAATTTTTATAATAAAAATACATTAATGTATTTTCTGAGAGTTTAATTTAACAAGCCATTAAAAAATATATAAAATGTATATAAATACAACAAAAATTATGTAAAATTATTTTCTTTGCTATTATCACTTGATATTTACATTCTCAACATTTCGATAGTACTTAGATCCTGCAATTTGAATAATTTATTTTTTTTCTTTTTTCTTCTTGCTCCGGCGTGATGATTCTCAGAAATATCGTTTCTCTTGCTTTTGTTTGAATCTTTATATCACCAAGATCCAGCAACGATAATAAGAACTACTTAGCTTCTCGTAATTAGGAAAACAGCGATTCGTTTAATTTGAAACAAACTTGGTAATAGCTTCTTAGATACCTATGTCACGTTAATTAATTCTGGATTTTTCACTCTCGATTAATTAAAACGTCTCGATGCAGCTTGTTGACGAATATATTCATGAATTTCGAAGTTACATTCTCTCGAGAAAACAGTTTACGCTGCCGAAGAAACTCGAGAGCGTAGTTGATTATGACAGTATATTAACGCCATTTTAACGGCGAACTGCGAACATCTCGTCCCACTTACCGTAGAATTATTAACTTCTCAGACGACGTTTCCATTACCTGCTAATAATCGCGCTTCGTTAATTCAATCGGCTACGACTTACGATCCTCTGTTTAGACGGAGACACATTGTCGCGCAACTCTGTTTCATTTCCGTGATCGCCCTCTCGATTAGCTCTCGTTTCGAGCAACGAATTCTCTAAATGTGTGTTAATTCGCTTGTCCAGTTGTCCCTCCAATGGTGGGGCCGTGATGCTGTTGCAAATCAAAATGTTAAACAAAATATCGTTACTCATTCTCGTGGTTTGTCACAATAATAATGTTGAGAAATTACCGATAAAGTGAGACGAAGCTATGCATATTCATCAAAAGCATTATCTATTTAAGACATTAACCGTGTATTTTTCCTAAATAGTTTTAACATTTTGAAAATAAAAGGATGTAAAAAGAAATCTAAAAATTTTTAATTAAATCTTGATTTTGAAAGAGAGAAAATCATTCTCGCGGAATGAAATTTCTATCATTCTTATTCAAATCATTTATTTTTTGCGATACGTAGATTAAATGTTAATTTTACGGTTACGATTTTATCAAAATCATAATTTTAATCAATTTAC